GGTAGATATTTATTTATGATAATGTAATTAGCAATGATACCACTTACTTCAAGCAATTTAAGGATACAGTATGCATCCTCAAGTATCCCAAATTCATCCTCATCAGACGGTAATCTGCATCGGTCCACTAACCCAAATCTGTATATACCGGCTCCTGACCAATCCATGGCATAAAAGCTCAATTCTAAACCTATACATAGAAATGGAGGTTATTGGCAATTAAATACAATCTACATAAATAATGTTGATAAAACTTACCGAATTGGAGCCACCCATATACAATTAAATTTGTACGTTTTTCAAATGCTATGTGATTACATTCTCTCAAAAGCTTATTTATGCTGTTCCGCATTATTATCATAAGCTTTACTTTGTCAAGATAACGCTTTTTACGACAGGCGGTGGGTATTCTAAGAGGACCCAACCCTCCCGATACTTCTCCATAAATAATTTCGAATTTATTAGTTGTTTTGATAAGAGTACTTTTCATGTCAACGCGTCTACCTATTCTTGCTTTTTTAAACGGACTCGCCTTTTCATTACGTGCGTAATTTGTGGATAAAGCTTGGACTTCCCCCTGGATATGTATAATAGTTCTGAATAATTGAAATCTACTCTCAAATACAAATGTAAATAAATGATCTACCAAATATTTTTAATTTTATCAGATATAAATATCCCACGAAATAGAGGAAATGTCGAACTCATTTTTAATTCTTCCTCCGTCATCATTCCTTGAAAACTAGATGCACTGCTTTTCCTGTACAGAGATTTAGGGTCAGGGTATTTATAGCCAGATAAAAAATATAATCAAAAAACATATACATATATAAACTGGATATTTACATCTAGTTTTTCAATGTTATGATTATCATCTGCATTTTTCGCACAATTAGCATCAAAGTATTCTCGTATATTCTTTTCTGGTGGCATTGTTTTCCAGAAATTTTTTTCAGCAAATTCTTGTGAAAGTTGTAGTATAACCTCCGTCGTGAGATTTTTACAATCATATAAACTTTCTCCGTTTAAGTCTAGAATTTCTCAATATGCAGGACTATTGGATGGAAATAATAAAACGTATCAGTAATCGCGCCATTATTAAGAAAATAAATGACATAAAACATACGTGAAAACTCTACGGGTTTTTGGAATTGTCTTTTGATATTTGTAAAAAGATTCAACAATACCTGTATCAATATTTTTTTGTTGATCCTATTGAGGATAACATAATGAGCCTATTGAAAATATATATTTCCAACTGTTAAATATTAAATTTTACCTTTGAGACGCTATTACCACTAACTTGTGGCAATATATTCTCTTGCTCAAGTACTTTTTCATCAATACATTCCACAAGGGCATCTTCGTTTGATTCATCAAATAATAACGACAATTCTTCATAATCCGGCTCATCATCATCATCTCTTTTTCTTTTCAAATTATCTTTACAGGCTGACTTTCCATTCTCTTGAGGCTCTTTAACCTTTTCCGAACTAGTGCCTTTAGAATAGGCATTAGCAACATTGTCATTTCTTATCTATTTTACGGAAAAATTATTTAAATACCTGATCTTTTTGTTTACATTTTTGTTATAAGTCAATAAAAATTCGTTTATTTTGTAACTTACATTAAGAGGATTTGATTTTAATGCGTTATTTTCCTTAAGAATATGGTTTGTGGTACTCCGCTTTTCAATAATTTTTGTAATTGTATTTCGTAGTAAGTGACCTTGATTTCGTGTATCTTTTGTCGCGTCTAGAACATGTAAAGACTAAAATGAACATTTTAGTTGCAGGTCAAGGCAGGTTTTAGGAATTAAAATTCTAACCTCTTCAAGAGAAATCAAATCCTCCAGTTGTTTCTTTTTCAGGTCCATCCAATATTGTTTTACTGCCACTAAATCAGCTTGTTCCTAATTTATAGAGAGTTTGATGAGTAAATCATTTTGGAGAATATGTTGCACCAAAGGGACACACGCAACATGGAGAGCATAACTCCACAACACAGAGGTTAGGAGGTAGCGTGAAATCTATACCAGCACTGAGGCCATCCCTCATTGACACAGAGGTCGAACAAAATAGCTCCCTCGACGACACAGAGATCGCAAGAGGATGGGATAGGACGATGGTAAGCTAACAAATACTCTTCATTGACGTACAACACAAAGGTCAAGTAGAAAGATTGGGATAACAGATGTTGTACCATTAACAAAGAAAGTATGAAACTTCACCTTAAAATGTTTTAGACAAGCTTGCGTGCGAGTTCTTCTTTCTGATTTGATGGTATCATCTTTAGAAATGAAACTAAGTGTTCCTTTATACAAACTGTAGGCTTTGTCTTTTTCTGTTGGACGTTTGTGTTCCAGAAAGCCAAGTAATGAGCAGTAAGTTAAATCTTCGAAGTATGCGTCAGTAGACATAATTTCGTGTTTATTTGCACACATTATTTTTGATTTATATTACGGTGTACCGTTTGGTTCAAAAGTGACATCGTTTTAACGGTTTAGAGATTTTGTTGTGCGCGACATCGATCATTTCCGTAAAAGGGGGTCGTTTAAAGCCATGTGCGGCACGTGGTATAGAGCCAATTAAATTGTTTGTTTTGATCGACACGGATCAGCCTGACGAAGGAAAAAAAGTGAATAACGTCAAAAATACAAGAAACAGTGTCTAAACCTATCTTGGAGCATTAATAAAAAATGTCGGGGAGGCAATTTTACTATAAGATTTATCCTTACCTTAACCCTACACCAACCCTTACCCTAACTTTAACTAAAAAATCAA